TTTAATTTTTTTTCATGTAAATTAATAATGAAAAAGTTTAATAATTAGGGGTGGGCATCAATTTTGTTCAATTTGGTTAGAATCAAGCCTAAATTAACGATTTTATTGGTTGATTTTTTTGAGGTAAAAACTAAAAATCGAACCAAATAACACTTCAGTTATTCAATTATGACACCAAATTAATCAATTCGATTGGTCTCAGCCTTAATTTTGTTCTATTCCTGGACTTACTACTTTTTTGGGCCTTTCACTTTTCACCTCCTTCGGTCTTTCACTTTATGTTTTTAGTGCTAAAAGCTGAAAACAATTGTCTTCCCCTTTTGTATCATTTTCAAGGATTAAGTTATCAAAAACAAAACTTAAAAAGGAAAAAAAAATCAATGAGATTATGTTTATATTGATGAATCATAAGTACATCATTTTACAACGACTACCCTTATTACTGCAGATCCAATATCAAAGGCCATACAATCTTGAAAAAATTAGTTAATTTCAATGTAATTTTCATGCACACCAATAAATGCAGATATATGAATTCAGGATTTAGGAAACCCAACGAACAGACTAAGGTTTGCCTTTTTTCTTTTTTCTTTTTTCACTTTGGCTTCAGATAGTCTTCAAATACCTTAGCACTTCTACTTCACACAGTCAAAGACTTAGTAAGCAAATTTGTGCCTCAAATACAGAGAATGTGTGTGCTACATAGAGTAAGATTAAGAGACAGAGGAACAAGAATGGGAGAAGATTAAAGATAAGATTTTTTATTTGAGGGTGAAATTTTTTTGATCTATGACAGGGGAAGGTGGCAGATTTGGGAGAGGAGGGAGGGAATGAAAATTGTGGAGAGAATTAGAGAAACAAAAGGGTTAGAGTTTGGTTACTTATGTATTTATATTTTATTTTTATTCGGGTATTTAGGTTTATTATTTGGTTGCTTAGTTCCTGGGCTAGCAACCCAACACCGACCCGTTTAAAATCAGGCAAACTAGCAGCCAAACAATTGGGCCCGAAGCCAGTTAAAGCCTGCACCGAATTCCATTTCTCGGGCCAGTTGTCGGTGGCCCAATATGTTAGCAGGTTTTGTGCCCACCTTTATTAATAATTACATCCTTAATATATTATCGGGAAAGTGGGCGTCAGTCCCACCTCCAAAAAAAAATTTGGAGTCCCAGACCAAACGGCGTAGTTTTCCTCTAAAAAAAACTCAGCCCTTTTCTCTCAAAAATCCAGCCCCTGCTCCTCGCCTCCATCGACAATCATCTACATCTCCTTCTTTGCCCCTTCTGCAATCATCTCCATGCCTCCTCACCTCCTCGACTCCGCCCCTACAAAACACAATAAACCCCACAATCTCTTGCAGCCAAGAAGGTAACAAAAAAAGAAAATGAAAACCCAATCTTCTTATTGGAATAATATTGATAAGAGAATAAGAAAAGAATAAAAGTATAACCAAAATCTGTATGAAAATCAGAGGAAACGAGCAGGATTTAAAATAAATTACCAAACCCAGATTTGGGTTTCTAAAATGTATATGGAATGAGAGGAAATGAAGAAAGCAACAAACCCAGATCTTTGAAGACAACATCTTTGAAGACAACAAACCCAGATCTTTGAAGCCTTGCCATGCCTTCCCCTCCAAAGTGTTGGCAGTACAATGGGGATGTTAAGAGGAAAAAACAAATTCAAAATTCAACATGAAACTAAACGAAACCAAGAGGTAAGACGAGCAACACAACATCAGAAACAATCAAAACCATCATTAATGAGCCCAAGCAAGAAAAACAAATTTAGTTCAAATCCCATTTGCAGTAGTCTTTTCACAACACTAAAATGCAAATCGAAATTCTCGATAATGAAACAAACTGGAATTTCGCATTAAACGCACAAGTATATTTCAATCCATAATCAAATGCGACCAAGAAAACAACATAATAATAAAAATAAAAATAAAAATAAAACTCATAAATTCAATTTGTGAACAGAACTCGGGAAAGAGAAAAGACGAGGAGCAGAACTCAGGCACCTTTGAAGACAACAAACCCAGATCTGGGTTTCCTCTATTATAACTAAAATTGCAACTTCAATTCTCATCATTTAATTTCAACACTATTATAACCAAAATCAGAGCAACCAAACTTGCAAAACCCAAATAAATTGGTTCGCAACTCCCTCAAGCTCCTGTGACAAAGGAACACAAATCTCGATTTTTTTTGTTCCATTGCACTTCGAGCTCGTGAGAGGCGTGGTTATGTCTCTTGGCTTCTAATCGCCTCAACCTCACATGAGGGAAAAGGGGGAAAGGGAGAGATGGAGATGATTGCAGAGGGAGCAACATTACTGGTGAGCTTTTTGAGTGAGGAGGTGAGGAGGCGATGGAGATGATTGCAAAAGGGGCAAAGAAGGAGATGGAGATGATTGTCGGAGGAGGCGAGGAGCAGGGGCTGGATTTTGGAGAGAAAAGATGAACAGCAGAACTGAGTTTTTTTAGAGGAAAACGACACCGTTTGGTCTGGGACTCCAAATTTTTTTTAGGAGGTGGGACTGACGCCCACTTTCCCGATATATTATATATAATATATGTCCTATCGCAGAAAATTCTCTATTTTTTTTAATGTTATTTTAGGCAATAGGCCGCCCAGGCTGATGTGAACTGATGTTTTAACAGATTCCCCTTTTGGAATGGCGACAACACGATACCTGTAAAGGTGCAGTTTCTTGACTCGTTTTGTTTTGCTTTTTTTTCTTTTCTATTCATTGCGGTGGATTAGTGACTGAAAATGATATGATGAGTACCTTATTTCCATTCTTGATTTCAGTTTCCATGTGATTGTATAAAGCACTAGTTTGGTGCAACTTAAATCAGAAACAAAGGAATCTGAATTATGAAGAAGGCCCAGCTGAATCACTGAATTTTAAGGACAAGCTTGGTGGGTGAGCATGTGAAACACAACAGGATTGAAAG